AGTGAAGTTTACAAAAAAGCTGATAACTTTTGCTTCTGCTTTAAAAGCCATTTCTTTCCATATTTTTAAAGATTTTGCCATAATAGATTTGCTGCTGCCTTACAGTTATGACTAGAAGCTGCTGAGTTGCGAGTGCTGGGTCGTTTCGGAAACGAAACTATATACTCCTTATGAGTCATAGATGAAGGATCATAAATATAGCGCTTCATGACGTTGTTATTTCTGGAGAGCTCAAGATTGCTAACCGTTTGATTCGGGGGTGATCTTTTAGGAGACATTGCGAAACTGCTAGGCTTTTCAAAAATTGGTTCAGTGAGAGAAGATCGTTGTTTTTGATCAACAATTCGTATTGGAACAATTCTTTCACCACCAATTTTTTCCTTTTTCTGCCCCGTAACTGGATGTAACTACAAAGATTTGGAAAATTAATTCAACTGAAAAGACAAGATAAGTGACTGATCAAAGCTAAATGTCATGTGAATATAGTAGAAGTGAAAAGAAGATTATTGCTCACCGAGGATACATTAGAGAAAGATTTTGAAGCCGTTGGAGATGAGGAAAACCTAAATAATTAAAATATTTCCATATTGAAAATAGCTATTTGTCCAGCTATATTTCGGTTACAAATTATAAAACATTTAATTTTAAAAGCTCTTACTGGGTATATGTTAATGGCGAAGGTGGTTGCGCTTGAGGTACTGTATAGTTGGGAGCAAGCAGAGTTGGAGGTAACTTTTTCGACCATTCGTAATGTTGAGAAGGTAGTGACTTCTTCCAGTCATTGGGCTGCTCACTTGAACTGCTAGGTAAACTTTTGTTAGCTGCTGGCTCAGATTTATTGAGGGAGTCTGTTGATGTGCCAATGTCAGCAAACTTTCGTTCAAATGACCTTTCCACCACTTTTTCTGTATTCTCCCTCGATTTTTTAATGGAGTTTCCGCTTACATCCGAATTGACTTTTCTTGGCAGCATAATATGAACTTCTTCGGAAGAGGCATTATTGTTCGGTAACTCTTCAGCTATGCACTGTGGACTAAGTTTCCCAACGTGTTTGAAAAATTTGTCCAATTCAGTCATTGTCATATCCCAATATGACTTTCGCAAATAGCTGCTGAGTTCATCGGCTGTAAAATCTTTTTACTGCATAGTTACGTTAGATTTCATCTATATGTACTGTTCATTAATGCTGATTAACAATATATAACAAAAATAAACACTTCTTTGGTTTTTCGCTATAGTTTACCAACGTCTTAAAGGACTGAGAAAATTGTGTGGTTAACAGTTTAAAATCATCTCCTTTGCTATAGTAATGGTCAAAACAGGAGCAAATAATACGGAATCAGTAAAGTTTTGAAAAATTCTGCTTAACATTCAGGTATTGGCAGAAGTTCAGCTTTTGCTAAGATCACCGAAACATTCTACAAAAATACTTAATATAGGAAATGAAAATACATTTTAGGACACCCTGAATAAAAAAACCGCTTAAAAGTTTAATTTAAGAAACTACTTGTTGTTGAAAAGAATTCACCTCTTTTATCTAGTTTTACAGTAATCATATAAAACAATTTTGAATTGTTTGTTAATGAAAAAGCTATCACCAATTAGCTGTACAGTTTCTGATATAACTGGGTAAGAAAATGGAAATCCTAAATTTAAAATGTGTTAAATTATAAAATTGATGATAGTCTGGTGTAGATAGTCTTGCTTCAAAATAAAACAAATTTTTTTCTACGTATTCATTACTCAAAAGTCGTACAAACCGCTTTCAGCAAAAGCGAGGTAAAGTAAATAAAATTCGAAAATTGTTTCAGTAAGCTATGCACTTCTGTTTACAAAAAAAAAAAAAAAAAAAAAAAAAAAAAAAA